TAAATGGCAAATAAATATATGAAAAAATGTTCAACATCATCGGTCATTTGAGAAATGCAAATTAAAACAATGCTGAGATTCCATCTCATCCCAGAAAAATGACTATCATCAAGAAATCAACCAATAACAAATGCTGGTGCAGCGGTGGGAAAAAAGAACCCTTCTCCATTGTTGGTGGGAGTGTAGACTGGTTTTGGGGGGACATCAGTGGAAATCAGTATGGAAATTCCTCAAAAAACTAGGATTAGAGGTCCCATTTGACCCAGCTATTCCCCTTCTGGGTATTTTCCTGGAAGAAATGAAAACATCATACCACAGCAAAATATGAGCACCCATGTTTATGGCAGCACAATTTGTCACAGCTAAATCTTGGAAACAACCTAATGTCCATCAACTGAGGAATGGATAAAAAAGATGTATTTTTATACAATGAACTATTACTCAGCTATAAAGAAAGATAAACTTGAGGCTTTTATAGGTAAATGGATGCAACTAGGGACCATACTCATGAGTGAAATAAATCAGACTTGCATGTGTAAACATCGTATTGTCTTCCTAGTGTAAGAAACTGAAAGAGTAAATAAGATCCAAAAGATACAATAGATATAGTGAAAGGGAAAAAACTGTTCAAAAGGCAAGAACAACTGGGATGGGGAAAAGAGAAACGAATGAAAAAAATGTGAGTGTGTGTATATATATATATATGTGTGTGTATATACATATATATATATATGTATATACACACACAAGATAGCTAAGATAATTGTACTACTAATTTCTGTTCATTGAAAAGAACCGTTAGTACTTACACTGTTTGATCAATTTTGCATGCCTGTACCTGGTAATCTGAGCAACTACTTTGAAGATAACAATGCAATATAATTGTTGATTTCCTATCAACTTGTTTTGAAATTCTGTATCATTTTTGTTGGCTTTTTTTTTTGTCTCTTTAAAACACAAATTGTGTGTGAGCCAGCTTTATCTCTTTCAGGTAACTCTTCCCCAAAGAGTTGAAGTCATCATATTACAGTGATGTATACATACCTATGTTTACAGCAGCACAATTCATAATAGTTAAACTGTAGAAGCAGCCTATAGGTTTATCAACAGATGAATGCATAAAGAAAATGTGATATACCTACAATGGAGTCTTACTCAACCCTGAAGATACATCTGAGTCATTTGTAGGAAAATGCATGCACCTTGATACCATGAACTGCAATAAATCAGACACAGGTTAAACATCACATGATTTCTCTTATATGAGAAGCCAAAAATATGATATACCTACAATGTGATATACCTACAATGGAGTCTTACTCAACCCTGAAGATACATCTGAGTCATTTGTAGGAAAATGCATGCACCTTGATACCATGAACTGCAATAAATCAGACACAGGTTAAACATCACATGATTTCTCTTATATGAGAAGCCAAAAATATAAGTTGAAAAGCAAAATAAAAACAGGGAGGTAGACTTTGTGGAGAATGGAAGAGGTCCTAGGGATGAGGGAGCTGGGAAAGTAGGGAGGGGAAGAAGAAGTAAAAATGGTTAAGATGTGATATCTATATGTACCAGTTCCCAAAACAAATGTAATTAGTTTGCATTGGAAACATATACTAATTAAAACAAGCTAAAAAATAAACTTATAAGGAAGAAAGACAAAATGTAATTATCAAGGGTAAAAAAAATCCAAATTTTTCAACCATAAGACTGAAAAACACAGGCCCTCTCAGTTCTAATGACTACATTTCAAAGAAATGCCTTCCAGGTCTGTTATGTAGCTTTGAATTTTGATCCCAAACACAGTTGTTACATGGTGCTCTGAGTATAGTCCCCTTCCCTTAGAGAGTGGGATATTTGATGACACCCAATGTGGGCCTTCTTGAAGAAAACACTCGTCTCCAGGAGTGCGACCTGTATCTTTCAGACCCAGATTTGAGAACTTTTTGTGATCTTTTCCTTCTGTCAGAAACATTCTCTCAAACCTGGCACTGTCCTCCTTCCCGGGTGGACCTTATGTCTCCCTGGAGGTCTCTGCTCCAGTGCTCAAGCGGCTTCTCCCAAGATCTTCTCAGAGAAAGGTACTGTCCCCAACTATCATTAGATTTTACTTTCCACAGAGGTGGCTTCTATCCTAATGGAGCAATTCCATTTTTTTTTTTTTTAATCTTTTTTGAGACAGGGTCTCGCTATGCAGTTCAGGCTGGCCTTTAGCTTACTTTGTAGCCCAGGCTGATCTTGAACACAGAATGATCCTCCTGTCTCAGCCTCCTGAGTGCTGGGATTACAGGCATGCGTCACCATGCCCAGTGGAGCAATTGCATTTTATTTGAGGACTCACTAGGTGTCAATGGAGTATATTTCCTGTGAGGTTTGCTCACATTATTTTCTCCCTCTTCACATTGTGATTGTAACAAAAGAAATCCTCTTTGTATAACAAGAAACTATGTGATTTGTGAACTCATACTTTGATCTCCTTATTGGCCCTATACCCAAGGTCTTTCAGATGGACACTCCTGAGGGTGACAGAGACATATACATCTTGGAGGGACAGAGGAATAATTCACAACTGTAAGCTCTTTTCAGTAAATGATTGAACAATGGGTGGTCAGGGTCCTAAAGTCAGATGTTAGTTATATATAGTTGATTTTTTGGAGGCCTTGAGAATTCTCAGGAAGGCACTTAAGGGGTGAGATCACTAACATCATCTTAGAGATACAACCTTGAGCTGTTAAAACCTTTGTTAAAGGCTTCTATGGAAAAACAGGTGGAAGGAATCAGTTGTGCTAAGCCTCTGTAGTTTCTACCGGAGAAGTTTTTGCTCAGAGGAAGTTAACTAGTACAGTCAAGGAGAGAATCTTTGCCAGTTCCCATGCACAAAATGGTAATATACATTATTTTCCTCTTTTCTAACAGTAAGTGACACATTATACCTGTCTCTTTTCTTCCTATCCAGTAGGAAACATGGAGACAGATTTTTTTGTTGGTGTTGCAAATGGGAGGGGAACCAAGAGATAGAGGGTGGGAGAGACAGAGGGCTGAGGCAAGGGGAAGGGGATGTAAAAAGAATTACGATACGTTATATCCATGTACCAACTCCCTATGATGAAGGCACTCATTATGCTCTGCAAACATATACTAATAAAAATAAAAAATAAAGATGCAATATAAAACATTAAAATAACACAATGCAGGTGTATAAGAATATGATGGGTGGAGCTGCAACAATTATCTTGAGATCAGGAGGGAACAAACACAAAAAGGTAGACTGAATAGCCAACTTCCCAAGCATGGTAAGGTTGACCTTTGATGATGTCACTGAACCTCTTTGTTCTGCTAAAATACGTTAATGAAAAAGAAGGCCTACAAACTCCAAAAAACAAACAAAAGGAATGGGAGGCCGTTAAGCCAGGGGAAAACTCATGCCCTGGTTCCAAGTAAGTAAGCCAAAACTTAACTCAGAATTGAAAAGAAATTGAAGTAAGCTAGGCAGTTACAGGTGGGCAAGTTTGCTTTACACTGCTTTGAAATTACCATGGGAAGAATTCAAATGAGGCAACTGTTCAAATTCAGTTGCTTTGCTCTGCTTTCACATTGATTCTACGGTGGCCTTCTACTGGTGTCCTTTCCATATGAAAAAATCATTTTTAATTTGTAGCTGCCATATTCATGAATCTCTGATCAAATAAATCCTTAAAAAAAAAAAAAAAACTCCTGGGTTTAGTCAACCTCTCCTGTAATCCCTCTCCTGGGATTACAGGCATGTACTATCATGCTGGGCTGAAACCCTTAAAATTTTTAACCTGTTAAAATTTACATTTTAATAGTTCCTAACCAGGAACTGTATTTCCAGGCCAACCACCTTAAAAAAAAATAATTTTAGGACTGGGGATGTAACTCAGAGGTAGCAGTTACCTAGCATGCGAGGCCACCAAAGCCAAAACAAAAAAACAAAACCAACACACACAAAGGAAAAATAAATTAAACCACCCAAATAAAACAAATTCCAAACTTCAGAAGTGTAATACCAGAACATCATATACCCCTCATCTATTTTCTCCAATTATCCTATTACTATAGTGTGTCTGTCACAACTAAGAAACCAACATTGGAGTAGCAGTGCTAAATGCTACGTGCTATTTATATTTCACTCGTTTTCTAATATTCTTGTGTTCCAAGCCTCCTCCAGTAAACCACATTACATTTAGTTGTCATATTTTAGTTTATGACAGTTTGACAATTTCTTTTTCATGCTAGAAAACGTGTTTTCAGGTTACGGATCAGACGTTTTGGGACTTGTCTTTGTTGTCTTTTTTTTCATAGAACTGGGTTATGCGGAGGAATACCTCAGGAACATGTTATTCACATTATTTATTCCTGATAACATCCTTGGCTATTTGGCTAAGGTAGTACTTGCTAGGTTTCTCCACTCTGATGTTACTAGTCTTCTCCAGAAATCAAGCTCATAATAAGGATGAATGGTGCAGAAATCGAGCTCCCTCTCCTGGATGGAGTATGCACAGAAGTGTTTAGAATTCCCCTGCAAGGTAGGTGTGGGTCAGGAAGGAAATGGGAGGAGGAGGTGCAGTCACGAAAAGGGGTGAGACCGGGTCTTGGCAGAAGAACGGAGGGGGACGGGTGAGGTGGGGTGAGGGCCAGGCAGGGCCAGCCTGACAGGGGGATGGAAGGACCGAGTCAGGTACAGAGGCGGAGGTCGGCGGGAGAGGCGAGGCTGGGCTCAGGCAGTGGTCTGAGCAACTGCTTAAGAAAAAGATTCTCAGGCGCTCTTCAGGGCGCAGATCGCTGCCCGCGGGCCACTGGGATTTTATACCCTGGGCTCACCGGGAGAGGCGTCAGGTTGAGGGCTTCGCTCCTTGGGCTTAAAAAAAAAAAAACCACCAAAAAAAACTAGACAGCTGCGCATGCGCCCGCTGGGAGGAAGCGGCCAGCGGCGGAGGGAGCTCTGAGGACTTGGCGGGAGTGACGACCCTCACCTTTTCCCTCCGCGATTTAGTCTACGTATTTCTTCTTAGATCACCTAGAACACTGTTCCGGCTTCCGTACATCTTCCGCCATCTTGGAGGCAGCGGCCGGCGCGGAGGAGACTGAGAAGGACTTCCGGGTTGCGACCTTTCGTTGCCTGGGTAACGAAAGCGGGGTCGCGCTGCGGCTTTTCTTAGTATTAAATTTGTGTGAAAAGAAGTGGTTTCCTTCGCACACCCACGCGGGGATTGTGCACTACTGTAACCTCTCATCGGGTCATTTGGTCGGCGTTGTTGCTCTGCGCGCGAGGTTGCGAAGAGACCAGAGCCTGACATCACCCGCCTGGAATGCGAGGCGGTGGGGGAGCGTGAGGCCTCTGGGGTGCAGACGGTGCCTCTTGCCGGGGCTCCTCCTGCTCCCGGTGGCGGTCACCAGGACCCCTGAGGGAAGTTAGCGGCCCTGGTGTGAACCGAGCCCCGCACACCGCGCAGGACGACCGCGCGTGGCGCTGGGACCTGATTCCCAACTTCCGGTACAGCAACCAATGAACGTGCAGCTTCTGGGTGTGAGTACGGCCAGCAGTTACTTATTTCTGGTCATTAATTTCTCTCCCAGTATTTATTTAGAGGTAGCTTTTAAAATCAGCTGTATCATTATGTAAATGTGCATGTAAATAATATTATGTCGTTTATGTACTCATATACGGTATGTATGTCAAAATAACATACAAAAATAGTAGTAAAAGTCTAGGACGTTTTTGAATAACCATCCCTAAAGTCTTGATACAATTTAAATATGTATGATGTGCACAGAAGCAAGCCCAATAAGGATCACTTGCTTTATAATGTTCTAAAACTTTATTTTGTTTTTTTAGTCTGTATGTTTTGCATAGTTTTCTAAACTAGCATAAGCAGTACTTTATAATAGCTGCATTAAGTCCTGTCTTTATAAGAAGCTCCAGTCTATTGCCTGCCTCATACTGCTGTATTTAATGGATTTCATTTTTATGCTTTTAAGAAAGTAGTGTGCAGAATCTCTAGTATCCATTTTAGATTTTATGCTTGTATGCTCTCTTGGCTCCCATGGTCTCTCTAACCCGTTGCCAACACCCACTTAATTAAATTCATTTGAAGATCCTGGTCTTTAAGAACAGGCCACTGTTTGTTTCAGACTGAAAGGGGGATTTTTTTTTTTTTGTTTTAGTGGGTGGTGGCTCCTGTTTTATTCTAAGTGTAGTTAATTTAAATTGGTGCTTTAGTAAATGTTGATTAGGATTGAAATGTGGAAATCCCCACAGCACATATTTATGAAATAATTTATCAGAATTGCCATGATCAGTTATTATTCAACAGGGCCTGAAGATAAAACTGTTTTAGAGGAAGTTGGGACTGTGGACAATACAGTGACTCCCTGCCCTATAAACCTACTAATATGGTACAAAATCCTCACATTTTAATTGCCTCCATCACTGCGGGATCCAGATTTAGGGCTTGGAATGAATCTTTTCTCTACAAAAACACTTTGAATATACAAGTTTGCCTCAACTGCAAAACGAAGAAAAGAAGAAAAAATGAACCAAACATCTTGCTGAGAAAGTTTACCAAAATACTCATTTCTATAATAAAGGGTACAAACAGCAGTGATTATTGTACAGCTGGAAAGTAAGACTAAGAAGTGCTTTTTATTTTACAATAGGCATCTACTCAGAAACTACAGCTGTAGTATGCAGAAGGGAAGAGGAAGAACAAGCCGGATCAGAAGGCGAAAACTCACCCGAAGTTCTGAATCAAGAGGAGGTACTTTTGTTTGTTTTGGTGGCGGTGATGAAAGAAACACATAGGTTTTCTGAAAGTGTTCAAAGAGATTATGTCTTAATGAACACTCTTTAATGGTGCCCTTATATTCTTTTAAACCCTGGTGAGAGTAGTATGAATCTATTTAATTCATTGCTTCAGGCTCTTATCTGGAGACGATGATCCCAGATTTCTGGTTCTGGTTTTATCTTCTAGCTTACTGTAGGATAGGAGGGTGTGGGTGTAAATTCATCACTGCTAACTCAGTGTAACCCAGGCTGAACGAGGTATAACATGTGAAAGTGCTTGGCCAACTGTAAAGTGCTATGTGAATGGAATTGTTATGTATATAAAAATTAGTGACACTGCTTCTAGTTGACCTCAAACATGTCAGCACCATTCTGAACTGGTAGTATCCATCTTTGCCCTCCATAGCAGTTGTCCTGCTGAACCTTACCTTTTTTAGGTTAGCTTCTTCCTGTGCTTTCTGCTATTTGTCATGAGGATGATTTCAGCTGGTTCTTTGCTAGTTTGTTTACACCCTTATTTCCTGTCCTATTTATTGCTACCCAGTTTTCTAAAGGAACAGCTTCCATGTTGGCCTTTTGGTGAGGAAACCCTGGGGAGCCTCATTCCCTGTTATGTGAGAACTGAACTCCTGCCTGACATTCAAGTTCCTTTAGAAGGGAGCCGTACCCTGGTAGCTCCATATGTCTTAGTACAATAGGTCATCTCTGCTCTCTGCTTCATGAACACACTTCCCACATTCACCTCTGCTTTTCCTCATAATCCTCCTTAGACTAGAACAGTGATGGCGAACCTCTTAGAGCTTTCAGTGATACCAAACAGCCTGCTGCTATGCATCGTGCCATAGGTTTGCCACCACTGGCCTAGAACATCTGTTTTTGTTTCTCCTTGCTTGTCTACTTTCTCTCTAGCCTTCAAAACTGGGTTTTGGTAATACCGTTTCTAATTCTCACTAATGTCAGCCTTTCCTTGTTTGCCAACTAAACCACCATTTTTTTGAGGGTGAAGAACTTGTTGAGTGTTCTTAGTGGTTAGCATGTGCTGTGTGTCTGTTAGTGTATAGTAGTGGCTCATGAAATGGGCATTGGGTCTGCCTGTAGTCTTGGCTGCTTGGGAGGCTGAGGTGGGACGACTGTGGGCAATACAGCGACACACTGCCCTGTAAACCTACTAATATGGTACAAAATCCTCACATTTTCATTGCCTCTATGAGTCATATTTTTCTGTGAGTTCCTTCGTACAATAGGAAAATAAAAATCTTTTTTTAAACTTGCTTGTCTGTATTTTGTTAACTTAATTTTCAGACCCCCGCATAGTAATCTAATAGAATTGAAAAAAAGCTTTTCCTCCCCAACAGTGGACACTAAGGTAATTTCAGTCCTTGTCTGTCTCCAGTAAAGCTGCTGTGAATATCCATGTACAAATCTTTATCTGGACATACGGTTTTTTCCTTGGAGTATCTACTTAGCTGTGGAATGGCCAGATCATTTAGTAGGTGTAGGTTTAACTTTTTATAAGAATCTTCAAAGTAGTTTTTCGACGTATCTACCCTATTGTATATTCTCGCCAGCAGTTTGTGAGAGTTCCGGTTGCTCCACATTCTTGGGAACACTTGTTATTGACTATAGCAGTGATGGCGAACCTTTCAGAGCTTTCAGTGGTATAAATAGCTTGCTGGGGCAAGTGTGCCATAGTTTGCCGCCACTGGTCTGTAGTGTCTAGGACGCGACATGTGTCCTAGAGAATGTTTCGTGTGCACTTGGGAAAAATGTGTATTCTGCTGCTATTGGATGATGTCTGTCAGTGCCACCTGGTTTATTGTGTTGCCAGCTTTTTCCTTGGTGATCTTGTACTCAGTTGTTGTGCTCGATTACTGAAACAGGTCTTCAAGTTTCTAGTTATTATTGTAGAATTGTCCTTTCTTCCCTTTACTTCTGTTAGTTTTTGCTTCTTGTATTTTAGGGCTGTGTTGTTAGATTCATATATGTCTATAATTATTACATCTTTCTGATGGCGTAACACTTATTATGAAATGTTCCTCTGTAACGCTAGTGGCACCTTTGTTTTAATGTCTTTTTTTGGACTGGTACTAAATAGTCTCTCCAGCTCTCTTGCAATGGTGTGTATCATGCATTTTTTCATGCTTTTACTTTGGATCTCTTTGTCTTTGAATCTAAAGTGTGTCTCATGTACACAGGATTTCCTTGGGTCTTGTTTATTTATCTTAACAAACTGCTTTTTGCCTGGATTTCTTAGTCCATTGACATTCAGTGATATTATTGATACACTTGGATTTGTATCTGCCATTTTTTGTTTTGTTTTCTATATGTCTTGTGTATCTGTCTTTGCTCCTGTTTCTCCTTTACAGTGTTCTTTGTGCTAAATCATTTCTAATATAATGTTTTCATTTCTTCATTGTCGTTTCATTATATTTTTTGAATTATTAATCGTAGTTCTAGGGCTTACCGTATATGCCTTAGTTTGCTCAGTTTATTTTTGTCTAGGTCTTAGGCACCTTGGGCCACCATGGCAAAGTACCAAGACTGGATGGCTTAAATAGTATAAAATGATTTTGCATAGTAGTGGGTGCTGGAAAATGTAAGATCAGGTGCTGGCTGGCTGACTTGGCTCCTGGTGGTAGCTGTCTTTGTGGTGGTAGCTGGGTACATTTTGAGTGTGTCTTCACATGGCACAGGGTCTCTATCTCTTCTTTTTTTTCTTCTTTTTTATGAGGCTGTCGGTTTTAGAAGGGTTTAGGTTCTATGAAGGTAACCAACCCTGCAGCTGTAAATATGCACTCTCCCACCCTTTTCTCTTATAAGCCCCTCTACTCCTATAATGAAGGCTGCACTGTCATGACCTCATCTCTCTGTTTGTATCCCCCTAAGGGCCCCCTCCAAGTACTGTGATAGTGGGGGTTAGGTTACAGCGTAGGAATTTTAGGAAGGCACAAACTTTCAATTGAACAGTCTTATTTATTTATCTTTTAGTTGTTCTTAGTAGTATTTTGTAGTTTTTGATACACAAGCCTGTATATTATTAGATGTATCTCTTAAGAATTTCATATTTCTGGGCTGGGGATATAGCTCAGTGGCACAAGTGCCCGCCTTGGAAGTGCAAGGTCCTGAGTTTGATTATCGATCCAAAAAAAAATTTTTTTTCATATTTTTGATGCTACTAAAATGATATTTTTAAAATTAAAATTTGTGACTGTTTATTGCTAATATATGGAAATAAACATTTGATTTGGTGTTGATGTAACCTGCTACGTTGCTGAATTTACTAGCTTTTTTGTAGACTTTGCTAGATCTTTTACATGTGTGCAGGTGTCCTCTGAGAATAAAAGTTTTACTTTTTTTTTTTTTTTCAGTTTGATTTCTTTGAGTATTTTTCTAGATACATTTTACTGGCTGACCTCTCAGTACAATATTGAAATGCGGGGGAAAGAGGGACAACCAGACATCCTTGTCTTGTTCCTGATCTTAGGAAGGCTCACAGTTTTTTACCATCATATGTATCAGTTATATATAAAGATATTTTTAACCAGATTGAGAAAATTTCCTTCTGTCTTACTTTACTGAGATTTTTTTTTTTTATAGGAATGGATGTCGGATTTTTATCAATGGATGTTGGATTTTATCTATGGAGATGGTCATAAGGTTAATGGTTTTGCTGTTTTAGATTACATTATTTGTGTTTTTTCATAAAATTTATTCCCTTTTGTATTAGATTTTTATCACATTGACAGATATGTGAGAAAATCACTGAAATAAGTGAATTTTGTTCTGGGTCATGGTTTCAGGCCCTGGTCACTTGGTCCCATGGTTTCTGGGCCCTGGTGAGGCAGAACACCTTTGTGAAAGGGTATGGTGGGATAACCGGCTTGGTTCATGGCAGCCAGAGGCAGAGTGAATTAGAGAAGAAAGGGCTGGGAACAAAATACACTTCCAGAGTGCACCGTCAGTGACCTCCTACTCCTTCCAAGTAGACCTTCCCTCCTAAAATTGCTACCATCACCCAGGAATGTCATCAGATTATGAGTCTAACAATCGATTAATCCACTGATGAGGTCAAGGTCCACATGATCCGGTCACCCTCCATAGGCCTTACCTCTGAGCACTGCTGAACTGACAGGGCCAAGCCCAACACAGGAGATTTTTGGGGGATATACCAGGTCCAATAATGTCTTACGTGATCTGCCTGATACACCTCATCAAAGATTTGTTTTAAACTGGTAACCTGATTACACAGTGATTTTAATCATGTTCTTTCCTGATTAGTGAATGAGAGCCACAAACCTGAATTTATAGAGCTAAAGAAGTGGCTGAAAGATAGGAATTTTGAAGACACAAATTTAATACCTGCTCGATTTCCAGGTAAGAGAGTCGCATTGGGCTCGCCTAACCTCTCAGGTGAGGGCCTTGGGGAGAACCTGGGGAGAGTCTCACAGTGGGCTGGGTTTTCTCTGCCTTCTTCCCTTGGAGCTATACTATTTATTTGTACTTCATGTTGGTGTAAAAGTGAATGCAAGTGACCTGCAGAGAGGAATGACAAAATGATGAAGTAAAGTTTGAAAATTAGAAAAGGTAAATGAGCATAGAAGCATGAATTAAAGTCATTATGTATGTATAATGTATATATTATACATTATATATACATTATGTATATATACGTTATGTATATATAATGTATAATATATGTATATGTTATATATATGTATATACACATATAATGTCTAGAGTATGTATAACACCTGAACACCACAGGTATAAAATCTGACACACTTGTCAGAGGCCAGCTGCAAATTGGACTCATCTTTCCAGCAGCTTGTGCAGTGGATAGGATGAGTGACCTTAATCCGAATATTCTGTAAACTAGACTGCATTGTTTACTGAGCAGATACGGGAAAGATGTTTGTGTACCTCGGTGAGTGGTGCTTTCGGCAACATCCCTGTGGTGATTTTATTGTTCAGACGTGCAGGTTGATGGGATTTTCCCAGACCCCAGTAGGTGAGAATAGTTTCCTAAAGCAGAGGGAGGGTCCAGAAGCAGTTGAGATGTGTGTTCTCTCTTGGGTGGTGTGGCTGCAGGAGAGTTTCCTGGGAATGCCTCAGCATACTTGTCCTTGGCTGGTTTGCAAAAATGGTCCCCACATGTTGGAGAAGCTGTATGTGGGGCCAGTTAGTCCAGAAGCTGTAGACTTCCACAATCACCTGAGCTGAGACAGATAAACATTCTCTTCTGTAAATGGAATCCTTTATTATGGAGGTTAGATGGACATTTTCTTATGGCACAGTCTCTCAGGAAGCTGGACATCTTGCTGTGTGTGCCTGCATACAAGGCTACCCTGCTCTGCCCATGTGTGGGCTAGAGATGACCAGAGTGGTGGACCAGGATGTTCCCTGAAAGGACTCCGGGCCCCAGCGGCACAGGGGTAGTTGGATGACTAGGACGCTGAAGTTCTACATCCAGGGGAGGCTGCAGATGGTTTCGCTCACACAGAGCTTAGAGCGTAGTGCACAGATGCTCCCTCTGGCCGTTAAGGTGATCATTCAGGTACCCACTAGGGAACTGAACTTCAAGCAAATTAACTTTCTTTTACATCTCTCGTGATAAATGATTTCCCGTGTGTGGCCCTAGGTAAGTGCACTGATGTGGGTGAACTTGTTCCCCAGGAGTGAGTCAGGGGGCCTAAATAACAAGAGAATGGCTCCCAAAAAATGCACTGTGGTTCAGGTTCAGGGAAGCAAAGGAAGACAGGTCTTTTAAAGGAGAAACGAGGAGGGTTTGGTAAGTTGTTTTGAAACAGCTGTCCTTGGCTCCAGGACCAGTAATAAGGGTGGCATTAATCCCAGGTGAAACAGGCGATTGCTGGGCAGGCGCCCTTGTGGAACTATTTTTTTGTGCAAGGCTGTGACTTTGGCAGAATATTTTGTGATAGCATCAAGAAATCAAGTGCAAAGACCCTCCCTTCTTGGCCTTCCCTGGCTCCTTTTTGTCTAGGTTTGACACAGGTGACTCCATTTTGCTTCTCAAAACTTTCAGAGAGCTCCTTTTTTCTTAGGGCCTCTCCTAGTTTATGATCATGAACCATGGTTGTTGTCTGCAAACAGAATGTTTAACTCTCTGTTTCCGTGTGACAGGCAATGGTTAATGAAAGCCACTCTCAGATTCCTGTTCTCTGGAGTTCTTCACCAGTTGATCAAGAGAAAATAATGTCAAGAGTCTTGCTTTTAGATCTTTAGGTCTCAACCTTACCTGGCCTTTTAACTATTCTAAACCCATAGGTGGTTGTGGCCCTTTTCCAGAATAGCTTTCTGACCCTGTCCTCCCTGGAAGTCCAAGGCTGGGAGACACTAGCTTTATCTTCCGATGATTTTGAACTTCATTCACAGTTGTATTCTCATTGGGAGCTCTCGGACCTTGAAGTTGTCGTGGGAGTCACCCTTCTCTTGTCTTTGCTTCCATAGGAACGGGAAGAGGGCTGATGAGCAAGAAACCTGTGCGGGTGAGAACTTCTTTTTTATCCTTGAAACTCTGTACATTTTTTGCTGCTTTGTTTTTGGGATTCAAATGAAGTGAATTAAAAGTACTTCTGAAGTGCAGGCGTTTCTCTTTCTCACCTAATGGATGTGTTGAATACAATTCTGTCTATAGGATTAAGTTTGCTGTAGAGAAGTCTGTATTTCTGTCATTTAAGCATGTGTGGAAAGAGTCACCCTGAGCTGGTGGACCAGGGCCATGGCCATTAGAGACCCGGACCTCTTCCCACTCTGTCACTCCCTGAGTCTCCTCAGGGTTCTTGATTCCTGGGCAGCAGGAGGCAGCAGTGGGGAGAGGAAGGGCAGGATTTGTCCCTTTGAGAACATTCCAGCCCCACCTGACAGGCTAGTGAGAGATCGGGTTCATGACTCACTGACTCTTATTGAGGGGGAGGCGCGGTCCCCTTTGCCTGGCCATGTGTCCCCAAATGCAGCTGGTACGAGGAGGAGAGAAGGCATGCTGGGTAGGCCAGTAGCAGTCTGTGCCCCAGCTAGTGTTAGAAATGAAGCCACGTGATAAGTGGGCCGGGGAAACTGCTCGCTGGGAGTTGTGTGCAGCGTGGGAAGGGAGCCTGCTGAGTGGGCGAGGAGGCCTCGGAGCCCGTCCCCGGGGTGCTCCCCACTCTCCTGACCCAGCAAGACCTCAGTGCTTTGGGCTTCTGTTTCTTCACCCGGAAAATGTGGAGTTCAGTGACACAGATGATCTCTAAGGTTCTTTTTACTATTTTCTGTGCTGTTTTAAAGGATTATACAATGCACAATTTTCTGTAAAGCTAAATGCTAATTTCTTCCTTTATTTTTACAATTATTTAAATTTATATACTTATTTATTTTACAGGGACAGAGCAGGGTGGTGCTGGGTGGGTATCCCCAGGTGCCACACATGCTGAGCATGAGCTCTACTGCTGAACTACCGCCCTCCCAGCCCTTATACTGATTGTCAGTTCCTCAGTTTAATTTGTTTTAAATTCAGGTGTATACACATGTTCATCTGAAAGAATACTATCTATCAAGGTTAGAATCCTATTATGTTGTTTTTATCATTTTTAAGTTTCCAATTGTAAATACATACAACCTAAAATTTACCATTTTAACATATTTTTAAGTGCATGTACCCTTCAGTAGTGTTAAGTATGTTCACGTTATTATGCAAGGTTTTTATTCTCTTTCTCGCGTGCCTGTCTGCCTTTGCTATATTCCCAGCCTTTAAAAAATTTTTAGGTTGAGACAGGGTTGGCTAAGTCACTAAGCTGCCCAGATTTTTATTTTCTAGGGAAATTCTAATTGACTTTATTCCAAAGCAGAATTTGAGAGCAAGATACATACCTCATATGTTATCTGTAGGAGCTTTGTTTAGATCAGGAAATGATGACGGGCAGTTGCTTCATATGTACTTTCAAATGTGAGTTTTTATTAAACTTTTTAAACAGACATACTTGTCACATGAGGTGCACAGATTTTAAGTGTTTAGTCGGAAGCGTTTTTTGATAGAGGGTTGTATCCCAAATAAGATCTGGGTGCGTTGTCAAATGTTTTTGGCTTTCTTCTGAAAGTCAAGGAGTGTAGGAGCCGGAGGAGTCTGTGGCGATCACTCCAGCTTAATCTTGCTTTACAGATTCAGAGGCCAGAAACCGAAGCCCGAAGATCCTTGGCTGGTATTTGTAAACGTCTTAGATGGCAGTTACAATGAAAGGAGAATCTTATGTTTCTTTTTCAGTGCTTTAATTCGTGTCTATACTTGTGTAACATTGGTGTCTGGTGTTTGTTACTTTACTTGCTAAAACTAAAAACCGTACTTTCGCAAGTGGTAGAGTTAGATCCCTGCTGTGCTAGGTGGGCTTCCTTTTCTTAAGCTGGTGGGCACCGGTCGTGCGGAGAGGAGGCCATCGTGCTGTCCTTCAGATTTGACTGGGGAGCATTTTTGTTTTTTGCCTTTGGTTTTGTTTTGCCTTTTGAAGTCAGAGTCTCTGTGTTGCCAGGCTGGTGTTGCCAAACCCCTGGTTTCAAGTGATCCCCCTACCCCGGGCTCCTGAGCAGCTGGGACCACAGGAGCAAGCCACTGTGCCTGTCTTCACTGGGGAGAATGTTTCTGAGTGGCATCTGCCTGGCCCTCTAGATAGCACTATTTCCTGGCATGAGGAAGAGAGGGAACAATGTGGTATGAGCCATCAGCGTGTTCCTGCATTCCCTTCTGGTGCAGCGTGGACTCTGGGAGTCAGCCCATCCTGAGATCTTCCTTCCCACTGGGGTTGTAGAACCTGGCAGTAGAGCAGCAGCCCTGCCTGTGCCTGCCAGCTCGGGGAATCAGGAGTGAGACCCCAGGTGGGCTCGTTGGTGGCAGTAATTGGGTTATGGGGGCTTCACTACTGGGTTATGGGGGTGTTCAGTAAATGTTCACTCAGTAGATGATGTGGGGTCAGGGACTTCATGAAACTCATACTCACAGATCCTTCCCAAAGCGTGGCAGTGCTAAACTTCCTTTGTTTTTGGCAGGAGGGACAGATGATTATTTCATTACCCGAGAGTTGCCTGCTCACCACAGACACGGTGATTCGAAGCTCTTTAGGGGCGTACATCACTAAGTAAGTGACCCCAGCATGCTTCTCTGGTGCCAGAGGTTCCCTTGAAGCCTGCCATTGATAGACGTCTCGTCTAAGGGACAGTTCATGAACATGAACTAGCCCCTTGTCTACCTAACAGATACCTGAAATGAATGGAAAGTTGTTTTTATTTTCAGCTCTAGGAAGTTAATTCATTTTAACTGCATCTTCAATAGGCTTCCTGGGATGGGGATATGGATTCTTATCCATCACGTATTAGTAAATGAAAATAAATAAAATAATACATGTAAATCACCACCTACTGCCTGGACTCCTAGTAGCCTGTTCTCTTCCACCATAGTAGGTCTTGGCAGTTGTTCATTAGCTGTTTTAATTTTGCCGTGGTTGTACTTACTTGAATTGTTCTTCAGCTGTGAGGAGCTTTGACATTATGGAAGAATTAGTGTACTTAGGAAGAGGGGAGAGCGGGGAGGTGGGAGTTGAGAACTGTTTTCTCGCTCATGTGGTGGGGCTTTGCAGTGGGCATCTGTGAGGACAGGGTGAGTGAGGAGCTCTGCAGAGGGGATTTCTAAATGATTAGGGCTGTTTCTTATCACTTACTGTAAGCTGTGGACTTCTTACTGGGCATGTTTTTGAATAAGAGTAATACA